TCACTGCTCACATGCGTTTTTCGCGAAGTGAAATGTGAAATGTGTTTTTCATATCACTAGGGTGAAACTCCATGACATTATAGTTGTGATTAACCTCGGTCTTAGGAGCCATGATAAACACCAGAGTATAGTTTTCTCAATGTGTAAATAGAGCGAAACATAGCAAGACTCACTAGCTAGCTGAACGCCAGGCTAGGGGTCAACGATTGTGTGCTGGGGCCTCCGGAAAAGTCTACAGTAGTGCGGCGACTGTGTTCATGTCAAGTCAACATGATATATGAAAATTCATCACTATATACGTTTTGTTGAAGTATCAGCCAGAAACACTACTTTGTTCGCGTGAAATTGCCTTGAAAAAATACTGAATTTTCGAAATTTTACGAGATAAGTTTTCGCTCCTTGTAGTCTACCTCCTGTTGGAACTGGCTGCTCGATAGAACGCAATACCGCCTCAGTTTACGACCGTTGCAGTCGACTTTGCGCGATTTCGCAGACTTTTGTTAAAATTTTGGAAAATTCTTATTGATTTCTGTACATTTCTGCCCGAATTATCATGCAAACTCGTATAAGTGAGGAAACTCTGGAGATTAGCAACTGAGGAAAGCGATTGCATATATTCCTCCAACACTGTTTTCATATAAGAACGTTTTCACCTGAGTATCCCAGAATGCCAGTACGCGAACAACAACGCGCCAGGAATAATATTCCGAATAATGATACCGAACGTAGTGCCTCCAGTGATGTTGGCGAAACAGAGAGGAAACCTGTATGGGTGAAAATGACAAACGAACGACGAAAACGGTGAGTTTCGATAGAGTTGTGGTTACGTTTTCCAGCATTGCAGATGGTCAACTATATGTGTTGTTGCCAATACGGAAATTTTGGGAAATTATGGTCGGTTTCTGTAGACTTGTACCAGAATACGCATGTACACTCTCATAGTAAATGCGTGAACTCCTGAGCTCAGCTGAGGAAAGCGATTACATATATTTTTCCAACACTTTTTTCAGAGTATTAGAAGCAAGAGCTATCATAGCGAGAGAAGTCATGAAAAACGAAGGAGAAGAAAACGAGTGGCTTCGAGAATTCATAGAAAGTTTCAGTGGTCAGTGACAATGGGGAAAATTACAAAATCAACTGTGAAAGAATGGGAAAGTTCGTTCGGCTACGGTATAGGAAATATGGTGTCAAGCTGCATCATTAAAGAGAATTTATTGTTACGGTATGGGAGTTTCACCTGTTTTGCATAAACTGCCGTACTACTCCATGTGAAAAAGGCGATATGAAGTGACTTGAAAACCTTTGGCGAATTACACCGGACAAATCACCACACATGCGTTTTCTGCGAAGTGAAATGTGTTTTTCACTAGTGCTTTTTCATATCACGGGTGAAACTCCATTAAATGAACTGAGAGCAATTCTATTATCTGTCGTGTTGATAATTGGAATTTATCGTCATTAGTTCACATTGCAACAGAGAGATTGTTGTTACAGCATTGGAGTTTCACCCTAGTGATATGAAAAACACTAGTGAAAAATATATTTCACGACTACTGCATATCGCGTTTTTACACAGAGTATTACGCCACTTCACGTAAAACGGGTGGAACTCCATTGAAAAAACGGGAAACAATTGTATCATTTCTCGTCTTGATAGATGGAACTTAGAAGTAATAAACTGATCGTGAAATTCCCCGTGATGGAGAATCAGGGAATCGTGAAAAAATAAGAAAACTATCATGTCTGTCTACAATGCGCGCGCCAATTTGATATGCAAATGCGATAAATGCGCGTTTTTCTTGAAATTAATGATAATCGCCCTGATACTTCGCATATACAATGTAAACATTGCTACGAACATATACTGTGAGAGACGTAATCGTTTGAAGCCGTGATAGAGAAAAATTATCCACTATGTCACCTCGCACTCGCCCAGGTGTCGCTAATTTGATATGCAACACAAACTGCGTAGTCGATTACGAAACCCCTCCATGTGTTTATAGTCAGTTCCGAGTCAGCGAACTGAGGCACCGAGATTGACTAGAAATCGTAGGCGAACGAGCAACCAGTGAGAAGTGTTTAATGTGTCGTCGTCACTACGCGGTGCGAAGGTCCAATAAATCTGCGATGTTAACTACGTCGGAGTCATCCTTTGTTGCTGAGGCTGATGTTGGTGCTGGTAAGCTACTCTTCGGAGGAATTCGACTTGGAGTTCACTTCTGGAAAATTCCGGTGCTGATACTGACCATCCCTGAACGCTCGAAGACTACGAAAATTATATATACTATCGATATTATGAATGTATTGGAATTCCACCCGTTTTACGTGGAGTGGCGTAATACTGTGGTTTGTGGAAATATGTTTTTCGCTGGAGTTTATCACAAGTGAAACTCCATTGTAATTTATGTTGGTATCAAGTTAAAAATGAGGTTTTATCTCTATTTCTATTGGTAATAGGATACCGTTATTGCAATATATTCTATCCCCATATCAGGGAAGTTCTCATCGTCTTTTCCCGTCGTTTCGGTCCAGTTTGGTGTGTTATAGGAGAATTTGGTAGAGGAGATTTAACGTCACTG